CTTTCTTTCTTTCTTTCTTTCTTTCTTTCTTTCTTTCTCTCTCCCTCCCTTTCTTTCTTTCTTTCTTTCTTTCTTTCTTTCTTTCTCTCTCTCTCTCTCTCTCTCCTTCTCCCCCCATTTCCTTCCTTCCTTTCTCTCTCTCCCTCCCTCCCTCCCTCCTCCCTCCCTTCTTTCTTTCTTTCTTTCTCTCTCTCTCTCTCTCTCTCTCTCTCTCCTTCTCCCTCTCCCTCCCTCATTTCCTTCCTTTCTCTCTGTCCATCCCTCCTTTCCTTCCTTCCTTCCTTCCTTCCTTCCTTCCTTCCTAGCTTGGGCATGAAAATATACATTTTCTGAATGTTCCGTTCTGCCTGGGGAGGAAGCCAGTGGGAAATGCCTGGTAAAAGTTGCCCCACTGCAAACGGGTGGATTCCTCGTGAATGTACTTTACTGTACAAGGATTGGGGCTGGGAGTAGCAATAATGGGAGTGGCCATTAGGGGGCAGCAAAGAGCAGGCAGCCCCCTAGCGGTCATTGGGAGCCTTATATGTTAATATTTGAAGAAGGGATGGAAAACCTTACGGGAGCTGATAGGCAGAATAAAGAGGAGGGGGAGAAAGAAGGGAACGAGAATAAAATAAAGCTAGAAGTGCAGAAGAAAAAGAAGTGACTCCAGGCTTTCTTTTACAGCATTTATAAGTAAGTATAAATGTGAAGTATTACTCCAATTAAGTATATTATTTTAGAAATCAATAGGAGGGAAGATGTGTAGCTCAGGGTTGAACTATGGCATCCTTGGTGCTCTCTGAGCTCAGTGGTTTTCTTGCAGACGTTTCATTGCCAAACTAGGCAACCTCATCAGTGCTGCAGGGGATAATAAACTGTTTCAACTCCTACCCTCAAAACGACGCTATAGGGCCCTGCACACCAGAACAATTAGACACAAGGGGAGTTTTTCCCCGAATGCCATCACTCTGCTAAACAAATAATTCCCTCAACATTGTCCAACTATTTACAGAGTCTGCACTACTATCACTGTTAACCTTCTCCTCACTCCTTATCACCCATCCCCTCCCACTTGTGACTGTATGACTGTAACTTTGTCGCTTGTCTCCTTATGATTTACATCCTGTTTCCTAGTATGATTTGTTTGCTTATTGTACCCTATGACTATTATTAAGTGTTGTACCTGATGATTCTTGACTCTTGACAAATGTACCTTTTATTTTATGTACATTGAGAGCATTTGCACGAAGACAAATTCCTTGTGTGTCCAATCACACTTGACCAATAAAGAATTCTATTCTATTCTATTCTATTCTATTCTATTCTATTCTATTCTATTCTATTCTATTCTATTCTATTCTATTCTATTCTATATTCTATTCTATTCATTCCTATTTCTATTCCATTCCATTCCATTCATTCCAATATCTATTCTATTCTATTCTATTCTATTCTATTCTATTCTATTCTATTCTATTCTATTCTATTCTATGACCTTCAATGAAATCGAGTTTGACACCCCTGTTGTAAGGGAGTGTTAGCATGCAATAAACCTTTATGTGTATTTGAAGTGCCTGGACTCCTAATTTGCCATGCTTGACACCACAATATTTTAGAAATATTTGCGGGTTCAAAATTGGTGAAAAAGAACGTGGTGAAAAGCAAAACCTAAAAATAGATTTTAGGTGGAAGTGTTCTCAATGAGGGACCTTGATCTACTGACTGCAAATTCTAGTTCCTATACATAGATCACTGCCTGTCCATTCCAAGCTATTGGAATTTGTTCCACTATTTTGCATTTGTTTCGTGGCCAAGAAAACAGCATGAAAAAGTCCCTAAAGTCACAAAGACCTGAGCTCAGCTCGTGGGAAACTTTCCGAATTTGGCGGATCTCAGCATTTTAGTGGCTGGGTTCACACACAATCGGCTCAGAAGTTATTAAGTTTGCTTTTGTCTTTGTTGGGGTGAACCTTGCCAACATAGGTTACAACAATTCTGTTGTACAAACCATCTGGGATTATTATTATATTTTTTTTCAACCTCACCCCAATGTCAGCATCTTCAAAACGATATCAAGGTTACCTTGGCCAATCCTTCTGAAGGTGAAATCTTTTAAGGCCTTTGAAATGTTGCTGGAGAAGATAAATGTTTTGCGGTTTCTATGAAACAAGGTTGGGTTTTGTTTTTTAAAATCAGGAAAATGATATTTTTGCACTGGAGAGGAACTTAGCACATTAGCAGAAACTGGTTTTCCGTGATTTGGGACATGTCAGATGTGAGTGCAGCTGCCAGACCATTGCAAACTGTCATTTGTCTTTGCTGATGAGTGGGGAATATACCACGGGGACGGGTTGAGCGAAATATATCAGGGATGTATCCTATACGTAGAACATACAAGTATAAGGGCTGGAAGGGAACTTAGAGATCATCTAGTGATCCAACCCCCTGCTCAAGCAATCATTCTAACATTCCAGACAAATAGCTGTCCAGTCTCTGAATCGTCTCGGGATGTAAGCCGTTCCATGTAAAGCTGCCTTTCTCAGTTGACTGATGGGGATTTTGCCAATGACGGAAGTTTCTGAATTTTTTGGCTATTGTTTTAAGCCACCACAGTCTGTAGGCTCTTGTTTCGAATGCAGCTGCAGGGATTATCTGCCTCTTAGAGACGAAGCAAAATCCAAGTGTTAGTCCAGCTGGAATTCTCCGCTTGGAATGGGGGAGAGGGGACATCACCCACCTCTCTATGTCCATCAGCAAAACGTCTTCTGCCACCCTCACCCATGGCACCAATTCACCTTTCCCTCCGTGAATTTGGGGATTCTTTCTTTCTTTTTCTTTCTCTCTCTTTTCTTCCTCCTTTCCTTTCCCCTTTCCTTTTTTCTCTCCCCTTTTCTTCCTTCATCTTCCTTCCTTTCCGTGCCCCCTTTTTTCTTCTTTCTTTTCTTTCTTTTTTTTTCTCTCTCTCCCTCCCTTTTCTTTCTCCTTTCCTTTCCACTTTCCTTTTTTCTTCCCCTCTTCTTTTCTTCCTTCTTCCTTCCCTTCCCCCTTTCTTCTTTCTTTGTTTCTTTCTTTGTTTCTTTCTTTTTCTTTTCTCCTTTCCTTTCCCCCTTCATTTCCTTT